TAGCCATTACGACTATATAGCCAGCTGAATCAATAGAGCCTCTAGGGTCAACAAAGATACGTGACCATGCATTGTTGTTGCTAAAAGCAGAATGAGCAGCAGTAGCAGGTCATGTATGTTAAGAAGAACAGATCAAGACCACTGATTTAGATACATTTTGTCTCTGTTTTTGAGGCGTTCAGATTGGGTTTGGCACCTCAAGAAAAATAAGATAAATATGCCACTAATAGGGATGGCTGTAACTCAGGAGGTAGAGCAGGTCATCAGCTAATCGCAAGGTTGGTGGTTGGGTGCTCCACTCTCCCATCTTTAGTATCCTTGGGCAAGATACTGAAGATCAAGCTGTGTCCAGTGGAGTACAAATGTATAGTTATAGAGATGCATACCGCATTCGCTTGTTTGAATGAGCTATGTTGTACAAAGTGCATGAGTAGAAAAGCACTATATAAGTACCATTAATTTCCTGTAAGTCTGAGCTTAGGGTAGGGTCTCTTGTGCTTGTGAATCGCTTTGAACTGCATTTGATTTGTTTGAGAATGACTCTGTCATTAAATCTTCAGTGATTAGTTGCTTGAATAGGATGTAAGTTGCTTCATTTGTTGCATTTCTGTACCAGGTTCAAGTTTTTATGCACTTGTTGCATTTGTAATTCAACAAAAACCCCTGCTTTAATTTCTATGTATATCTTTAAATGGTTGTAACAATATTCAGTTAAACATAATGACTTTTCCTGTTGCTAATCTTACTGTTAATGCAATGCCTTTTTAGTTTAAGGGATTTATTCAAGTTTAACATAGACATCGGACACACCGGATAGTCTGGTTTGTCATTGCTGACATTTTTTCCAATATATATAGTATAGCCTCAAACAAAAAAACTAATTAATTTTAGTATAAAATATAAAATATTTTGGGGATTAGCTTGGAGCTACATTAAGACAGCAGCTGCTTTGCTCTGTCTACTGCTCTCTGTTCACCTCATCTGAACTTCAAACTGTCCCCGGGGCTGGATGATA